AAATTGTACGAAACTTCAGAGGATCTTATCGTGGATGAGTTTTGCGATGTTACACAGTACTCAAATCATTATTTACTAATACAATGTTAGTCTTTTTTTCCTTATAAATCATTTCCATAACTAGTGCAGCGATGCAAGGAGGAGCTCATATTCACATACTAACCATTGGTGACGAGTCGTGGAGTTTGATGAGTAAGTTGTCAAAACTTGGCTCGGTTTTGATTATCGAAGGTTTTATGCATTGGAGCTTGAATGAGGACAAAGTATTGACTTTGAATTTGGAGACGGAGGCCTTCACGGCGAGCTCCAGGCCCGACTACACGAGAGGGGACTTTGTTAAGAATACTTATTTGTCGACCGGAAGGTGTTTATCGTTATTGCGCGAGTGTGGGGAGCTCTTGTGGGAAGTTTTGGAGATGTGTCGGGAGACGTTCGAGTGGAGAAAGTCGGGAGAGTTTTCGTTGGAGGGTCACAAGAGCGAATTCGAATCTACACGATGCAATAATGTGAGTTAACTACTTGGAGGCTGTGGTCCTTTGTGTTGATATGGGCGGGAAGGAGATTCTAATCTACAATCTCGTCACGAGGGAAATGAAGAAAATGGAGCTACTGGCTATTGTTGGTTGGTACACTATAGAAACCTATAAAGCCACACTATAGTAAATTAGTAAATCACCACCATTTTAATTTGAGTTGGTTTCTTGAAGCAAATTATGAAGTGTGTTTGTGAGACTAAGTTAATTTGCTCTTTCTTTTCATTGTTTTGCGGGCCTTTTTTCTTATATTGTTGATATCAAATGTGAATTAATCTTTCATTTACATCTGCAAGCAAAAACATACCCTCAAGAGACACTCATGAACAATAGAATACAAGATTTCAACAATTGAAACTATACAATAGGGCCCTAAATAGTATTGATAAATCTTATAACCTAAACAGTATTGATAAAGCACTGATTATTCTCTAGGCAATGTTCTAGTATCTCTAGGCAATGTTCTAGTATCTCATTAATTCTACCGCGAAGTTTCCCAACAACTGGGCGGTCAAAAAAACCCACTGCAACATTAAACCCCAAATTTGCCATTCGATTGATAACTGCACCTTCTAGGATATCTCCATTGACCGGATGATCCAAATTTACCATTCAATTGATAATTGCAGCTTCTAAGATATCTCGATTGACCGGATGACTTATGGTGCTGTTCAAGTCATGAACTGATTCCACAATTATTACTTTATTAGATTAACAAATAATTAAACAACTAGATCAAGATATAATACTTCACTTATCAAGACCAAAACACACTAAATATGACACTCACACACTCTTTTACTTAGACTCTTGGATGCTCGGATTATTGCGATGATATGCAAATGAGGTGGTCTCCTCTATTTATAGCCACCACCTCCTCTAAGAATTCTTTAAAACATATAATATTTTTGGGCATTCTAAATGCTTCTATAAACCTCCTATATACATATCTCTACTACAATTCTCTACAATATTCGGATTGCCGTTGAACAAAAACCCGTTTTCAAACCCCCGTCCAGCGAGCCCTTCCCTTCTCTCCCATCTTGCCGGGGCCCACCTCAACTATCCCTTGCATGTATTTATAGCCAAAAGCTCGGCATCGATTTCCGTTCAGCCGCCGCCAAGATCTTTCTCTCCACTTACGGCACAACTGCCCTTTGATTTGCATGTTGTGGGATTTAAAGTTCCAAGGCCGTTGAGGTACTCACAGCAGAGCCCTGGGGAGCTCAGATTTGCACTGATTTTGCACAGGCGTGTTTGGGATTCTTCGTACTGTCCGAAAGGAAGGTTGGAGTGTTTGAAAACTATTGCTGATGAGCCTGTTGTTAATTTGTTCGACATGTTTAGAGGCTTAACTATAACGAAGGCGAAAGCAACTTCCTTGAATCTTCTGCATGAGGAGACTGATTTGCTCGGGTACAGCGAGCATTTTGGAGCTGGTGCTCTTGAAGGGCATATCGTGATTTCGCCTATGGAAATACAGGCTTACAAATTCTCATTTTCTTCTTCTTCTTCTTCTTCTCGTTAATTTTAAGTACTGGTTTGTCTTCTGGAATGAATTCATCTAGAAATCACAAGGTGTGATGTGAAGTTGCGGTGAGGCAGAATCGAAAGGGTTGTTTGGTAGGTATAGCTTGGGTTTGTTTTGTAGTGTTAACTTGTTGGAAGATATTCATCGGGAGGCTCTCAGGCTCGGTCTGGAGATATGGGATATAATTTGGTGAGGGTACTTAATGAAGAAAGAAATCTGTATCTCCTTCGGAAAAGATACATCGATGATGAGTTTTGCAATGTTGCACAGTAATATTTACTAATACAATGTTAGTCTTTTATTCCTTATAAATCATTTCCATTATTCAGGTACTATGTCAAGTGTGTTAAAAACACAATCTGGCTTTGCAATATGTATGTAAAATCTTCTTTTGAATCTCGAATGATCCTCAACAAAGAAATATCTTGCTCTGCATTCAATTTCAAACATTCTAAAGACCACAAGAACGTGGTATCTGTTCATTGTTCACAATGCATGTAGCAAAATTGAGCCGATCTACGATTTCTCGCCACAAAACACACTCATACAGTTTACAAAATGATGCCTTCTAAGTGCTGCACGATTGGCCGAAGCAGCTTGGAAGCCAACTTCATTTCCATATAAAACACTGAAAATGCAAAATCATGTCAGCATTAAGATGGTGTCTTCTGGTTTAACTTCCTGATGATTTAACTTCACAGGATGATCTCTTCTTGTACACTTAAGTTGACAATCTTGTTTTGAAGAACTATTGTGTTGGTCACCACCACTTCATCTTCAACAATGACCGACTCGCCTGTATTATGCAATATGCAACGACCAATTAAGATTCATTTTCGGAATGAAGAAAATCTGATCTTATGTCAATTATCAAAAGACACATACCCAAGATAGTAATTCCGAGCTTTGTGGTGTAGTCACCATCAGCCTGCATCAACGATGCAACAGTTATATATAAGAATCCAAATGGTAGACTGAATTGCATTTCACTTTCCCTAAATTTTTTGTGAACTTAAAAGAAAATTACAAACCTACCTGAACTCGAGACCATCTGCCAAGAGATGACTTCCATCCGATAATAGCATGCATAACAAAAGCATTTTCCTGTGGAAGAGAAAAAAAATGTCTGAAACTAAATCTAATAAAATCATATCTATAAATATTTTTGTGGAATATAATTCTTACCTTGATTTCTACATCATCTAAGACAATGCAATTCGTAAGCCTTACACCGGCAGCTATACGGACATTTGCTGAAATGGCAACATTTGGTCCAATCTGTACACACACGAGTGGCAAATTATTGTAAACCCACATAGGGAAAATTATCTCTCTCTCTCTCTCTCCCATTCACTCAATATTTCAAACATCTATTGTGCCACACACCTAGAGAAGATAATTCAGATTCATTTTTCTATTGAATTACCTTTGCTGTTGGATGTACTTTGGCTGATGGATGAATATAGACATCCCCAATAACTTTAGCACTCCTTTTCCCATCCCCACTAGCCAGCAGATGTGGAGAGGAAGATCGGTATTGAGCAAGGTATAATGCGGAGCATTTTATCGACATTCTGATAAATTCGACATTAGTAAGACAAGATTATTTGAGTTCCCAGGCAAATGAAAGGAAGAGAAAGGATGCACATTGGTTAATGACAAAATTACCCTGGGGTCTTGATTTGTTCCCAAAAGTCTACTGTCTCGTATGTATACAACTTCTTCTTACCAGCAAGTGGAGACAGAATATCTTGGTCCAACCTAACGAAAGCTGTCGGAAGAGACCTGGATGATGGATAATCGGCCCCGGGATTAACATAGCTGAGATTCACTCAAATACACAATAAGGGAGGTATATAAAAACAAGATGAATAACGACAATATAATGAGGACTTGATGAAGTTATTTTTGTAAAGCACCAGAGTAAATAGGACTCAGACGAGCAAACACCAAGACTGGTCCTACCTTGTCGTGAATTGTTGGGATTCGTAACTAGATGCATGGCGTACATCAGCTGCAATGAGAAATAATCTAACAAAACATCAATCTGATGTTATACTTATGAGTAAATAAGATAGATAATCATAAGTTCCAAAGTCCAGACCATGCTATAACACAGCTTATGGCCAATCAACAAGTACCATGGAGATAATTTTGATATGAAATTCTTACAGTTCCTTAGCGTGTGCTTGGATACAAATGTATCCACTTAAAACGAGTTTTTTTTTGGTTAACCTTGAAAAAGTTGGTATGATTAGTTGTAAGTGGGATTTTGAGTTTATATTGAAATAATATTTAAGATAAAATAATTAAAGTTGATTTGATGTAAAAGTAGGAGAGAGATTGTGTGAAGTGATGGTTAGTTAAAATTATGTGAATAGATGAATAGTGAATTAAACATGATGACGTGATGTGTAAGAATGATTGATTGGTGGTATTTAATTATATTGATAATATTGATGATAGTTGGGTTGGTTAAAGTTGAGTTAGATTATGAGTATGGGTTGAGTATGAATTGAGATAATTTATAAACACTTAATAGGAAATTGTTGTGCTGTGGAGTCTCATGAATGGATCATAAAAAATGAAAGAAAACAAGATGATGAACAATCACTAACCTCTGCCTTCCCTAAGCATAAATACCTCCTCGATGACACAAAAGATTTTTGGTGTAAAGACATAAACACCACAGTTTATCAGATCACTAACCTGTTGCCAAAAGAAAGTAAAGGTTAAGCTTTTTAAGGATGTAACAGTCGAAATCTAATTAAGCGGAGAAGTATGAGCTTCTTTACTCATTATACGTACAAAAGTTTCGGGTTTCTCAGTGTAATGTAACAGTTCTTTGGTTATCGGATCAGCAACCAATTCACCAAACTGGTTGGCTGATTCAGCAGAAACCTACATATGCAAATACAATAGAATAGCATGAAATAATTCCGGAAAAGATGGAATAGGGGAATGAAAATAAAATTGTTCCATTAAACACAAACACACACACAAAAAAACGGAGGGAAGTGAGGAACAAAAATGAAATAGTTTCATTAAGAAAACAGAAGAACACACATCAATTTCAGATGTAGGCTGTGTTTGGTAAGCATATAAGCTAGCTTATAGCTTATTTCATTAGCTTATAAGCTTCCTGTATTTAAATAAGTTTGGTTTGGTAGGACGAGCTTTTTTAAAAAGCTCGAGCTTATCTCATAAGCTTCCTTGGGGTAGCTTTTCAAATATGACCATTGAAATTTCATTTCAGCTAGTTTATCAGCTATTTTACCAAACACTTTTATCATATAAACTAGGCGCTAGCTTTTCAGCCATAAGTCAAAAGCCATCAGCTATAAGCTCAAAATTCACTTAAAAGCTATAGGCTAGCTTATTAGCTAGGTTTACCAAACATAGCCGTAATTTCTAACAGAACATGCCAGCTCAAGCAATTGGAAAACACAATCAGAAAGGAAACTTACTTTAATAACCAACAAAGTGCCAATTCCTCCATACATTTTATGTGCTTCTACATAACGTCAAAAAGTGCAGTTATATAAGTCCAGAAAGTATTATCAGTATCTTAGAATCACGAAGAAGTCAATGATACCTAGCATTTTAGGAAGCGGGAAGTTGCAGCAGACGTCACAATTCAAAAGAAATATATGTGACTGCATAAGAACAAAAAAAGTGCACAATTTCATTTAGGTTGTAACTAAAGGACCCTCGTGCATCATGCACTCGGAATTTTAACACAATGTATTAGGAAAAAAATACATACAGGGGAGTCCTCCATGATTTGATCCCTGAAGTGAAAAAGACCGCCTGCCGAACCATGTGGCTTTTCTTCTTTCAAATATCTGAAAAATGAAAATTCATGCCGACTAAATGGTTGAATAACACACAACGACTTCACATTATAAAACCACACGAAACAAACAGAACAAAGAAAAAGTGTCGCCTGATCCGACCTGACAGGGACTCGGAGCTCGTTAGATATAGAAGAGACATACAATGCAAATTCCCTCTCCTCATAGAATCCGATTAAAAAAATTTGCACAAGGTTGGATATCTGCACATGAGCAACTGACTATAAATGCCAGACAAACATCTGCATCCCCAAACAAGAATTGACACCGAAATAATGTCATAAACCAGAAAAGCCACTTTCATTGCAAATTATTGAAGAATTTTGAAAATCTCAAAGCAATCAATACATCTAGCTGAGGAAAAAGTAAAATTAAAGTTAAAAAAAATACCCTTTTGCAAGCGGATATCGGGTGATGAATCATCGGCTGGCCAGCAAGAGGGAATAATGGCTCCGGCGTATTGAAGGAAAGCGGCCGAAATCTTGTCCCTGAGCAAGATGAGGTTACAAAAATGATAATTCAATCTACGAGCAAAATTGTTGAACGATGAAGTTTGAGAAAAAGAAAAATGCTAAAATAAGCACCTATGGTTGGGCCTCCGACCAGAATCACGGCCACCACCTTCTCCTCCGCGGCCTCCATTTTCTCCGGCGAGCAGTATGAGTGAAGTCCACAGTCCTTTCAACGCACGCTATGCAGGTTTTTTGGGATCGCTGTTAAAAAACTCTACAGTAGACGTCTGATTTACGATTGCGTCACCTACGACACCGTTTCTGGTGCTCATGTATTATTAATTATTATACTTTTCCCTCCGTTTCTCTCTATTAAAAATACAATAAAACCTCGTTAAATTAATACTCGATAAATTAATAACATCGTTAAAATTAATAATTTGTTCGATCCCAAGTTGAGATCAGTAAAAATTTGGGACTCAATCAATGAAATTATAAGATAATGTTTTTTTTAAGATCACAGTGTATATATATTAGTCCCAACAAAACTATAAACTAATAATTATTAAGAATAATCTATATATATATATATATATATATATATATGATGCACTTGAAGATTCTTAAGACAACTTAATAAAATAAGAATCTACTGTAATTTACCATATGGATAAATATATAGTGCTGACTTCTACCCATGATTCAATACACAAATGTTAGTCCAATGAACCATATTTTTGTATTTTCCAAAACCAATTAATTTAAACAAGTCATTCCAACTTCCACGTGAGTTTGTGTTCATGAAATTCTACTAGTACATTTGTATTTTAACTTAATTTTCATCAATAACTATTCATGTATACTTAAACTTATTCAAAGAATTTGGAACTTTGAAGGTCAACTGTGCATATACGTTAAAACCTCTTTAAATTAATAAATTATTAATTTATCGAGATAATAATATCTCTATAATATAAAATCCTCCGGTCCCAACATTATTAATATATAGTGGTTTTACTGTATTCTAGTATTCGATCATGTGCATTTGCACAGATGTAAATAGAGTATTACAAGTTATATTTATGTATATAATATTAGAATTATAAGTTAAATAATGGTATTATATTATAAACATGGAGTGTTGTAAGTTATACTTGTCGATATAATATCAAAATCATAAGTTAGAATGGTATTATGTTTAAAATGTGATCATTGGTTAAAATAAACTGTACACAACTATTTGATTGTATATGAATCACCATATTAATTGCCTAAAATATAATAAATAATGTAATTTTTGTAATTTTGAGGGGTCATGAATCACCATATTAATTGCCTAAAATATAATAAATAATGTAATTTTTGTAATTTTGAGGGATCATGACCAATTATGGTGATTCATATACAATCAAATAGTTGTGTATAGTTTATTTTAACCAATGATCACATTTTAAAACATAATATCATTCTAACTTATGAGTTTAATATTATATCGATAAATATAACTTATAACACTCTATGTTTGGTAAAAAAAGTTGAATAACATTATGTTAAATTTGGTAAGACTATTATTAGAAATATGTGATCCTCAGTAAACTGTTAACTTTTATAAAGAATTATTATGTATATAAACATACTTTAACACCATTAGAGGATTTTGTCTATTACATGTTAACTAGGTAAGTCTATTGTAACTTAGGATGTGTGTTCGGATACAAATATCCGCTTAAAATATATATATATATATATATAATTGCTAGCCAAACATTTAGTAAAACCTCAAAAATTTTTCCCTCTAAAAGACGTTACTTTGCATTAATTAAGTTTTTATATTTTGATTTATTTTATTATATAATAACTACTACTAACAAATCATAAAGTCACATTAAATGATATTATAATTAATTTTTTTCTTCAAACTATTTATTTAAATTATTTTTTTAACTCATTAAGCAAGTTTTTTTTTATTAACATTAGTTATTTAATTTTTATGATATAACGTAACTTTTTAAAATTTCGTACACAAGTGCTATAATGATAATAATTTCAATATTGTTTTATCTAATCAATTGTTCATAATTTAAAAAGATTACAAAGATTATATAACTGCAATCGATATAAAAATTAATATGTAAGTTAATAGTTTATGTTTATTCGTTCATTTTTACTAATGATAAAATTTATAAAATGTGATATGCTTATCTAACTTATGATTTAAATATTACATACACATACATATGACATATAAATTTTATTTGCATCTGTGCATGTGCACATGAGCGAATGTGATGTAGGGAAGCGTACGAATGGGAAAGATAAACGAACGAGATACTCTCTCGATAAAACTCACAATCTCATTTTTCATTCAATAATCAACTAATGAAAATAAACTAGAGGGAGTCTTTTATATAAGGCTCCTAACCCTAGACCTAACTTGTCCAACAAGACAAGAGCTCTTATTAAATATTAAACAATTCATAACTTATTCTCTAATAATAATAATAATAATAATAATAATAATAATAATAATAATAATAATAATAATAGATATGTCTACACCATTCTCCCCCGGTTGAGCAGGATTTGTCCTCGAATCCGACCCGTTCCCGTTGGAGACGTCCTCAAGACAGCAACAGCCCGAACGTTTCCCCCGATCGAACACGAAGGTTGAAAGTCGTCCAACAATCTCGAAGGTAAACATAATCTCGGTCAAGGATTCAACTGTCGCAAAGTCACATGTACACGACACCCGACGCAAAGCCCACACAACCGAATGAACACAAAACAGACCACATCGTTCACCGCGCATAAATCTATAACTACGGCCAAGCATCCCGGTGTTGGGAGACTTCAGGAACAACAATCGAAAAATGGCCCACCAGTTATGGAGTCTCGGCTTCGGCTCCGAAAAATCATCTTTGGCTAAAATACTAAAAAAATCGGGTGTGAATGACGGCTGCTCATTCGAAGACTCAACAGTTGCGACGTCCCACGCGGGACCCATATTACTGCAAAAATATGTCTTCGTCACCGAAGGCTCTTCATCAAAAATTGGTGGACCGTCGTAGATAACGCACTTGTCGGGCTCACAATTCAGGTAATCTATAAACTCGAAGTCAAAGCCTGTTTGTGGCTGTTCAAGCCCAAAATAAGGATTAAATTCATCCTTCCCCTCAGCCCAATAAATTGAATTGGACGCAGGCCCAAAAACGACATCACCCTCACAAGCCCCAAAAATGCTTTTGTGAGGCCCAGAAGTGCAACTGGAGTCGTCTCTTTCACACGCCCAAAATCCGCCTCCATGTACGAAACTACCTCTAGCCCGCCGTTGCTCGCGAACTCGGGGTTGACCTGTGGTTTCGTCTCCTCGCCATGGTGGTCGATCTGCCAACGGGTTAGCCGACCAGGTAAAGTCACCATCCTTGATGCCGTTCAGAGGTGGCGGGGATCGCTGCCGGGGCGCCCCGACATGGCTGCGTCCCCCACAACCGCCTCTGTCTCCCCCGCGAAAGCCACGGCCCACAGCCCCATCGCGGTTCGTCTGCAATTCCGAAACAATCACGTTGTTAAGCGTCAAATGCACATCCTCGATCCCCGTCGAAAGATCGGCAAACCAATCCGTGAAACGCACGTCCAATTGTTCAAATCGGTAGTCGATCTGTTGAAACCAATCGTTGAAGGTTGCGTCACGTCGTTCATCTGCGGCATCTTCTCGTCCCGGCGACATCGCGAATCGTACTGACTGTTGATACCAACTGATGTAGGGAAGCGTACGAATGGGAAAGATAAACGAACGAGATACTCTCTCGATAAAACTCACAATCTCATTTTTCATTCAATAATCAACTAATGAAAATAAACTAGAGGGAGTCTTTTATATAAGGCTCCTAACCCTAGACCTAACTTGTCCAACAAGACAAGAGCTCTTATTAAATATTAAACAATTCATAACTTATTCTCTAAGATATCTAATAATAATAATAATAATAATAATAATAATAATAATAATAATAATAATAGATATGTCTACACCAGAATGCTAGTTTTATGTAAAAGTAAGAGAGATAATGTGAAGTTATGATTAATTAAAATTATATGTGAGTAGATGAATTGCGAATTAAAATTGATATGAAAAGTAAGAATGATTGGTTATTACTAATATGGAGTATAGTGAATTTGAATTAAAATTGAACTAGATTTTGAGTATGAATTGAGTTTATTTATAAAGTATAAACAAACACACCCGCATGTTTTTCCTTTTTCCTGGTAATTTTGTAAAATGAAATATTTCTTTTGGGATTTTTTTATTTTTTATTTTAAATAGACACTAACAATAAACAGGGGGAAAAGATGATTTGGATTTTCAGTTAACATTTCCAATTTCAACAACAGAAATAACTAAATCGAACCAATCCAATCCGCAGAATTCCAGCCTTCAGAAAACAAGAAACTATATATGAGGGCATAGTGTGTATTGGGAAAAGGAAGCCAGTGTGATCATGAATTTTTCGTAAGATAATACAATTTACAGTCCCGCATAATTGAAGGCCGGTATGAAAGAACACAAAGTTCCTCTTTTATTCTTAAAGGACAAAATCGAAACCTGCAGTAAATAGTAAATAGTGGCCTGATGAAATTTTGGAGAATCATATTCACGAATGACCAAAANAAAAAAAAAAAAAAAAAGGAATTCTAACACAAGCACAAAGTAATGGACAAAAACAGTACAGGGCAACTGGAAACAAAATTTTTGCTCTCAGAACTGAGAAGTACAATTTTAGACAGAAGTAAATTATCTCATTTCACAAGTACAAGAGATAATTAGATCACATCTTCACATGTCTCTCATATTAATCAATCAGCACTAGATGTGTCTTTCATTCTTTTGCCATACAACAGTTAGCAGAACAACTGGGTCGAGACATGTTAACTATGGGAGTATACTATAAAGTATAAAACTTCATTGACTAAACAATAAAACTGAATTATCCAACTCACCAAGCAAACCGTGACGTTGAACATCAAATTCTGCCCTCTTTCAGACACAAAAATACATTTTTGCCATCGGAACACTCAAAACTGTTGGAAGCTCATGTCAACACTAATGCCCTCAACTACAGTTTATGCACTCAACCTGAATCACCAAATCCTTAATCCCAGCATCACGCAAAATATCCGATACTTGTTTTCTAACAGAGGCTTTATCAGCATCTCCCGAGACATGAAGGTGAACAGTCCCCACAATATCCGTGTTTGTGAAACTCCAGACGTGCAGATTCTGAATACCCAAAATACCCTTCAAACCCATCACATCATTC